TGTCAGAAGTGTCACCTTGGATTACAACGAAAACACTGCTTTAGGTGGGCAAGTTTTAAGGATAGAAGAGAGAACAGCAGGAGAATACACATGGCAACTGTGAACTGAAGTTGTTAATAATTTACCCGTGTTACAGTGCGCATTCCTTTCTGCCTTCCTCCCCATATTCCGCCATGGCACTGCAGCAATCCTGCTTATCCAGTCCTGCTCTGCTCCTCCCAGCTCCCAGGACTTCCTGAGTTGGTTTAGGACTTTTATTTTTGAATAAAAAATAAAATAATTTTCCTCTTTTCTTTTTCTTTCTCAAACAGCTTTGGCCTCGGAGTTTTTGCAGGTTGCCCAGCTGCAAGTGCAGGAGCCAGGCAGCCCGGACAGCGTAGCTGTGTCTCCCGCTTGCCCGGGCAGTTGGCACCACCTTGCAGGTACCCCAGACCTGCTGCGTGCGTGGCAGCACACCGGGCGTGCTGAGGAGGGAGAGGGCAAGCAGGCTGAGCTCGTTCCTTCACCTGCAGGTGAAGCAGCACAAAAGTAAATTACTTTGAGTGGGTAAGTGGATATCATGGTTGAATTTTAAACTCTTTCTTGGCCTGGCACAGGTGATTGCATCTACCCTGAATGTAGGTCAGCGCCACAACGTGGGTTGGCACCACGTGAATCGGCGTCCCTGATCTCCCTTGCTCTGCCCCAGCTCAGCGGCCGGAGCACTCGCAGAACCTCGGTCAGGACTTTCCTGGTTTTGGCGCAGAGCTCAGCACTAAGGTGCCCAGCACTAAGGTGCCCGGATGGCACCGCATCCACGGTGCCGTCCAGTGTTTGCTGCAGATCCTCGCTGGAAGCAGCCGCTGAATGTTGAAGCTTAAGGTGCATGTTCTCCAAGAGGCTCTTGAGGAGGAACTTTCTGAGATAGGGATTAGGGTTGCTGCATGGTAGCCTGGTGGGTAGAACTGGAAATTGGTGCCAGTGCCTGTGCCCATTTCCAGCAACGTGAGTTGGCCTGAAGGGCCTGCAAATATTCTTAAGTTGCTGAACAGCTCTTGTTTTTGCTTGTAGACCACAGTTGTAGGTGGGTGCCACCTTGACCACAATATATGGAAAGATTTTCTTACAGGAGGAGTCCCATGAGTCCAGGCAGGCAGGAACATGGACGGGCAAGAGGAGGAGCTGTGTGCCTCGCTGGAGGAAGGGCACGAGCACCATCCCTGTGGGCAGCTGGGAGCAGAGGTGGCCGGTGAACACCCTGCCCCGCATACCCTGCCCAGTCTGCAGCCATTGCTGCTGCTGGAGCCACCTTTGAACCTGTCTGTCTGTCTGTCTGCCTGGGCACCTGGCACCCTCTGAAGGCAGCAGCACTGTGGCTGTGCAGAACTGCTGGCAACGCCTGCGTGGGGAGGGCAGGGCAGGAGCAAGCCCTGCCGAGCGGAGCAAGTGTGCGAGGCTGCACTTGTGCATGTGTGAGTTGTTTGAATTCATTGCCTGATTGGACTGGATTGAAGCTGAAAGCTCCGATCCTGCCTGGTTCGAGCCGGTTATCTGGGAGAAACAACCAGTCCCAACCTGACGAGTATTTTGCCTATCGGTTTTGTGATGGCATCAGCCCTCTGACTGTCTCCGGAGTGGCTGTGACACGGTGTGCGTGCACCTTCTCCATCCCCCTCACCTCTCCCACCACCTTGCAGGTTTAGGTGCTGCCTCATCGTACGGGCGATGCAGAGCGTGAGTAAGGGAACCGTACGCTGGTGTAACAAAAGGATTGCACCCGTGATGGAGGAGAAGTCTTTTAGACTGCAGAAATCTCTCTGGCTACTCACGTGTAACAACCTGTTTAAATCACGTAGTCGTTCCAGTTTGAAGAAGTTTGCTTGGCCGGGGTTGGCAGTTGGCTTGCACCGTGCCCGTTGTAGCAGAGACGTACGGTCACCTGGTGGTTCCTACACAGCCCGGACAGCCGGTGTGCCGTGCAGGGTGTGTGTGACACAGCCCTGTCCACAGAGCGGAGGGACTGCGGCAGCACTTCGGAGGTCGCTGTGCTGAAGGGGAAGGGAGAAGCGCGGGCTGTGGTGGGGAAATAAGGAAAAGGCAGTGTCCTTATCAAGGAATTTTTATTTTTTTTGTATATCGAGCAGCTGCGTGCTCCTTAAAGAGACAGCACACAGCCAGGTAGTTATTGTCCAGATGGAGAATTACAAAATTATCCCAGTGCTGTTGCCTAAGTCCTGGGTGGTTTTGTGCTCTTTTAACCCAAGGAGAAGTTTTATGGATTTTGTTAGCTTTACTGTTCTAATTACAGGCAAGCAAAACCAGTAGCTGGAGTTGGAGTATTCATGTGCTTTACAAGGCAGTATTGTTTTGGAAATACTTCCAAACTGTGAGTATGCATGTTTTCTGGGGGTTCCCTTTCGGCCTGGATGGGAATAAGGAATTAGATGGCTCTGAGGGGATGGGGCAGTCTCTGCATAGGGATGGTTTGGAACTCTGTGCCTCTTATCTGGGGTAGAGTCTCTCCAAGGCTGTGCCAGGATCGCTTAGGTAGATAAGGAACATTTTTTTTTGTTTTCTTATCGCTGTTCAACCTCTGAGGGCATTGACCTATTTATTTCTTTAAGCGCTTTGCTTAAAGATATCTTATACGAACTGTAATAACACCCTTGGGGCCCCAGAGTGTCCTTGAAGTATTTCTGGTGCGTGGCCCTCCCCAAAGGGACCCGTGTGCCCACCGTTCCCAGCAGCTCTGAGGGTGCCCTACTTGGAAGGCCGGGTGTGCTGCTGCGTTTCCATCCCAGGGCTGGCATCCCTCGGTCCCTTCGGCCAGCGCCGGCCGCTTCGCCCGGCTGCAGCACCGCGTCCTCCAAGCTGCCAGCACCGGTAGCGATGTAAAGAAGGAATTTTTTCTTATGTTATGGGACTTAACTTTCACGTTCAGACACTTAAACACTCTCTATTTGGGAGATACTATCCTGTTTCTCAGCAGTTCGTCACCACTGGATTTTTTCCCTATATTTCAGTGTTTCTATTTCCACTTAGTTAACATCTGCTGGCGATTTAAGCCCTAGTGAGAACCAAGCTGCGGAAAGTCCAGTTTGGTCTGAAAATTTCTTGGAGTCTGTAGCTTTCTGTAGTAGCTTATTTAATAAAAATTATTTGAACTGCTTTTGATTAGTTATGGCCTGAGATATCTACATTTTTTAGGTTGCGTCTGCCCTTGTGTTACAGTAGGGTAGTCCCATAAAAGTCAGCGATGTAAATAAGGGCGGATTTAGTTCCTGTGTCATTCCCAAAGCAAGATAAATGAGTTTTCCAGCACAGCGTTGTGTCCTGCCACCTTGTCTGCTCAGCACACAACTCCTAAAGCTCTGCTCGGAGGGCAAAGATTAAAAATTCTGTGAAGAGGACATTTCTGCAAGGTGGATATATATATTTTTTTTTTTCTAGAACAGCAACCTTAAATACAGTGTTTCAGGGTGATCTTTCAGCAACACAGTCTCATTGAGAACAAGAACCACATAAGGATAAAAATTGATCCTAAATTTGCAGTCGTAAATTATATAATTCTGTGTCTAAAGGAGGAAGAGGAGTTGTCTCTCAACCGAAGAAGGGTAACTTGGGTCAATTATTAGCACTCTTATTCACTGTCTTACTGGAAACCACCGAAATCTGCATATATGATGGGGTTGTAGCTGAGGGCAGAATTCCGTAG